TCTTCCTTTTCATTTTGATTTTCCTTTGGCACTGAAAAGCGTTATGATGAAGAAGAGCCTGGGGAGAAGGAAAGAAAGAGACAAGGGAGAGGGAGTAGGAGGTCAGTGTTCATAGACACAAGAACAAAGGGCTGCGAATACTGCACAGTCCCTTCTCTTTGGAAAGTCGATGCTGAGCCATCTGCCAGCTCCCAGTTCAGGGATCCAGCTTGGGCTGGCCTGGACCAAATGAGAACTTCCTGGCCAGGCACTCATCAGCCCCTCTGAGGGCAGCTCTAGGCAACCACCTGCTCTCTCCAGGGCCTGCCGACTGTTTCCGGCCGACACCCCCCATTACTTACTAAGGAGACAAAAGGAATCGCTGAGGAAGCTGTGTTCAGAGATCAGGAGGTCACCAGCCCTGGTTTTTGCTGCAGGGAGGCCTTTGGCTCAACAAATCTTAGACCAGGCTTATTTTGATGGACTTTAAACAGTCATTTTTATTTGACACATCCGAAGATGACAGGCACTCTCGTTGACTTTTCAGAGCGCTTTTGGTAACTCTGATAACGTATTGATTTTAAAATTCAAGTCTTGGCATTGGAGGTTCCTACAGTATTTGAATCTGGTTCGTAGGTGAAGGTGGGTCGGGGAGTCTATGAATAATATACACAATTTGTAACCGTCTGTAGTGCTGAAAATAAAAGATTATTTTGTGTGGGGGTGTATCTGTACTCACTGAGGGAAGGGGTAGACTGCATTTGCAGCTTATGTTTGGAATCTAGAATTTTAAGTGAGAGTTGGTGCCTTTATCTGACCTGTCAACATTATAGATGATACTGTATATTTATTAATATAGTTGCATATTTTTTCTCAGATGGTTGCTGTTAGTTGGTTTATGATTGCAGCTTCTATTTGGAAAATAAGTTAATATTGAAAGCTAAGATGAGAAGCTTGGTGGATTTGACTGCCAGCTCTAGGGGTCTTCTTGCACTTGGGATCTGTGACCTTTCAAGATCAATGCTGCCTGTAGCTAAATTAGAGAAATAGGAGGTTTTCCATTTCCTTCTCTTTTGTGACTATTCACCTACCGGTGTATTCTGGGCTCGCTGTCCCATAACCGTCTAAGATGAAACCTCTCTCCTCTTGTTCTTTTTCCTGGGAATTGAACCCCGGACTTAACATGCTGAAGTACATCCTCAGGGCTTTTCTTTTGTATTTTGAGACAGTGTCTCACAGTAACCTGAATTTTCATGGTTCCTGGCTTCCTGAGATTTCAGTTTTCCTGCCCAGCTTGAAAAATGAGAGACCATGTGCAAGCAGACTTACTGTAGAGAAAATAGGGCTTATTGTCAAAATAGGAGCGATGACCCAAAGACAGAGCTGAGTGGCTGGCAACAGCAGGAATCAAACTCAGGTCCTTGCACTTGCAAGGCAGGAAGCCAAACCACTGAGCCGACCTCCCAGCCCCGTCTCCTGTCTCTTTATTTTCCCATGCTTTCTGGCCCTTAGGGCAGTCCCACCCTCTTTTTGCATATAGATAAGAGGGAAAGTTTCTTTGTTTGGGTATCCTTAGTTTTCCCACTCTTGCTACTTTTAGGGTACTCCACACCTTTCTTTTGCATATGCAAAAAGGAAAATTCTGTTTCCAGGGTGCAAAATTTCACTGTACTAGGCTATTTGCCCCCTCCCCCACTGTTTTTATCCGTCTGACTACATCACTAGGTCTCTATGATGATCAGACTGGGCTGGGATCTGAGATCCTCTGTGTCAGCCTCCCAGAATGCAGTTGTGCACCACTGTGCCTGGCTTCTTTTTTAGTATATTCAGAACACATGCTTGAAGACCGAAAATATCTGAGATTAAAAAGGGTAGAGTTCTTTAAGAATCCCTACAGCAAGACAGCAGACTTGATAAAGTGCTTTGGCATGTATTATCACATTCTGATTTTTCTATTTTCTGTTCTTTCTCTTTGGTGACATATTGGGGATTGAACCCAGGGCTTCATACATGGTAGGCATTTGATCACTGAGCTACTACCCCCTGATTGTTCTTTCTAAATCACAAATACCTCAACTAATAGGAAGGACAAGTTTCATTACATATGTTTTACACATAATAACTGATATTCAGGGAGGCAGAGGATTTAAAGCCAGTGTGAGATCCAATTTCAAGATACGAGGGTTTATGTCATTAGGAATGATTCTCCCCATCCCAGGATACTGGTACTGTAGCCGTCCTCTCCTCTAGTCATGAGATTTTAGGCGCTAGAAGAGAAAGAGAGAGTTTTGGCTTGGGAAGCTTCGCTGTGCACACGATAAAGACCTTCTGCTCTACTTGTCTTGAAGAGTCTCATGGTGAAAGCGAATGGATTTGAGGTCAGGTAGAATTCACTTCTTGGTCCAGCTCAGCGACTTACTCTCTGTGTGATCTTTGTAAGATGGTTAACATCTCTGATCTTTAGTTTCACCTTGTAAAGTGTAAAAAAACTTAAAGAATCCTGAAGATTTAAGATGTGTACATATTGTTCTCAGCTTACAGGGAATGAAAGAAAGGTAGCATTTCTGTTCATTAACATTTTATAACTTCACATTTGCTTTTTCCATTTTGGGGACAAAAAAAGACCAAGTAAGAGGGATAGTTCAGGCTCTATATACAAGTGTATACACATAATCTGACTTAGTGATAACAAATTAAACCTAATCTAATTCAAATTACCAATGACATTTTTATTATCAAGTAGCAAGTTGATTCAGTCAGGTTTAAATTTTCCAAATAAGTATTTATATGAAAATAAAGCCCTATTTCATTTAGTTCTCAGGCTTGACTGCCTATCATGTCAACCAGAGAAACTAGAGGTCTACCCGAGACACTAGAAAAACGATCACACAAGAACCATGGTTCCTGGGTTTTGGGGTGCTGAAATCTTCTGAGGTGGCTTCTAGGATCTTTCTGTCTGGGGCAAAGAACTGGTCAAGACAAGTGCACATGGTAGCAGAATTATATTCAAGGTTGGAAAAGAAACAAGATCTGCAGAGCAAGTTTGGGCCAAACAAAAGTAGGGAAAGAAGTACACATTACAGCGTGCACCTGAACCTGCACCGCCATGGAAGAGAGGACAAAGTGGCAAAAACTCAGCGTGGACTGTCCTTTTTTAGCATCTACTCCTCAGGCTGATGTCAGGTCTAGGCCCTCCTTGGAAAACTTGCTCGAGTTCTTGCTTTGGGAACCGTTCTGGGAATATGTTCTGGGGTTTTCGTGCCTGACAGGTCACACTTACTTCCCTAGCCAGCTTTCCCACACCTGAATCTCCTGTCTCACCATCTGCAGGTTCTGAGGGGTTTGCCTTACTTGGAAGCTCATGAATCAGGGGACCGCAGGTTCCTAGGATTGACAGAAGACGCCCATTTCCTGAGTCAGAGAGGAGGGGCATTGTGTTCACACACAGCAAGCAGTGTGAGCTTCCCATTCTGTCACTTTCTCTTGGCTTTGAGCCGAGGCGACATGAAGTAGCTTAGTTTTATGCTACACCCCTAGTAGTTTGTGTCACAGTTGAAAAAAAAAAGACCTCAAACTTAGGAAATGCTCATATTTTTAAAAGACTGGAAAATTTGTGCCCAACCTTTGCTGTAGAGATAGTCATTATCCTTATTATACTGGGTAGCAAACAAATATATTTCTGGCCCTGGAAAGAGAACTCTTTGGCTGTACAAATCTCCATTAGGAGATGGTCAAGAACAGACGGAGTCATTGCCTGTCTCCCATATCCAGAAACAAGAAAGTCACACACACACACACACACACACACACACACACACGCACACGCACACACACACACACACAAATTATGGGTATAATAAGGTCCACTAAGAGCCTACTGACAACTAGGCACCGTTTTTTTTTTTTTTTTTTTTTTTTTGCAATAGCTCCATGCTAGAGACCAGCAAGTCATCTGGAGTTCAGAGTTCCCCTATAACATCCTGCAAAATTTCTCTTCGAAAGATTAATCTTTTCTGGACTGAGCTCATTCTCCCATGCTAACTTGTTAGACTTTATGGTTTTTAAAGGGCTCCCCCTTCCCAATACAATGGACCCTTGACTTACAAACTTGGTTGTTCCAAGGGCTGGCTATAACTAAGTCAACACAGCTGAGATCTGGATGTTTACTTGGGCTCACGCAATAGATAACAAGAGGCAGGTGAATCCTCCATTGACCTCATTAACCCAAGCTCTTTGTATGTCGTAACTTGAGGGTCTGCTGTATTAAAAGCCCTTGACACTGAGCACGTCCTACATTATCAGCTGCAGCTCATGCTATTCGTTTGAATTGACTCAATCCACAATTTCTGCCTAGTGTAGCCCAGGAACTTTGGATCTGGGGTAAATGACGGTAGGCTCTCGAAAGCTATTAAATCTTGAAAGCAAAGATGTTAACAGACCTGTAGGTCCTTTTTCTACTCCGTATGGTTCTACAATAATCTAAATTTTAGAAGCAGGCAGAAAGTTTATTCAATGGCCAGTGAATGGAGAAAGGACACTTAGGCCCTAAACCCAATTCCTCTCTGAGCAGGTGTGTGATCTGGTTTTTCATTAGGACTGGGTTATGGGAGGTGGCATCCATGTCGTCACAACTTTTCATGGGAAAAGGAGATTTGCAAGGATCAGGGCTCCACCTCCTTTCTTTCCTAATTTTGGCATGGTATGTTACCGGGCAGCGGGATACTAGAATCTCCTTTTAGACAGTTCTAGGTTCTTTCTGTCCTGAAGAAAGAATTGAATGAGACAGAGTTTTACATTTATTAAAAGCAGGAAAATACAGGCTCTGCACAGCAAGTTTGGGCCAAGTAAAAGTAGAAAAAAGGGAGGGAAAAATACACCCTGAAATGTAGAGTGGGCTACCATGGAGAGACACTACAGCAAGCCCTTAGTGGCACAGTCCCCTTTTGCATTTCCTAGGCTGGCAGCATGTCTCAAGTTCTCGCGAGAAGCCCCCTGGCAGGGCTGTGGACGTGGTTCTGTGCCAACGTCCTCATGCCTCCTTTCTCGGCCGGTGTAGCCTGGTGTTAGTTATCCCCCCCGCGCCCCATCAGATAAGCCGCGGTTCCTTTCGGTGAGTTTTCATCTTTATGATGAGATTACACTAAGTCGCAGACCGTCTGGGTTGTCATCACGATGTCTGCGTCAGGCCAAGCCAGCCTGGACCTCGCCTGTCAGGTGGAAATGTTACAGTCGGCAGCCGGGAGCAAGTGCTAATGGGTACCTGGTGGCTTTACTTCTACAAACAACTGCGATCTGTAAGTAAACAGAGGTGATAGTAATTTTTAGGGTTGGACTGGTGACAGAGACACTGCCTGTCTTCGGTCCGCTTTATAGGCGGAGACTGCAGTCCAAATATTTACTCAGTTTAACCAGGGTCCCGGGATGTTGAGTGGCAGGGACTGGACTAACAAATCTTCCGGTTCTTTCTAATCTCAGTTGGATTAAAAGCGAAGTGCGCGTTTGATGCAGTTTTCCGTTTTGAAATATGATACTTGAAGAGGGGCCAAGATATAGGTGGAGTCAGAGCACTTAGAAGCACAGACAGAAAAACTGGGAAAATAGTCGCTTCACATTTTATAGTCACCATTTAAATTGCTATATATACAAAGGGTACTTGGGGAAAGCTATAAAACAATTAATAGTGCACGGAAGGAACATTTACATTTCAATTGTCTACATTTAAGAAACACTTTGCATATCTGTTCAAGGCCTCCAATCACGGTCTTGAATATGAATAAGGGAGGAGGAACAGAGGAGGCCCAGAGGCAAGAGAAAAGCAATCAGAGGGCCTTGGACAGGATACGTCGATCCTTGTAGGCATGACCTTGTTGCCAAGCCTGTAGAAGCCCAAGTATGTCTTTTTCTCTGAGACTGGGGTCTCTTCTGTGGCCTCCTCTGAGGTTTACCTATGAGTGTATCAGAGCAGTGCCCATAATTTTCCTTCATATTTGGCTTGTGTGGGCCGCGTGCAATAATGGTTATTGGTCTCTAACCAGTCACTTCATAAACTAATTTACTTTATGTGCACTAATTAACTTTATATGTGCCACGATCCTAGAAGGAGAGGAAACCATTAGCTTTTAGCCAAATTTACATTCATTCACAGGGCTGTGAGAATTCTTTTTCTTAGCGCAAAAATTAACTGACATCTTTCAAGTACAGCTGTGAACAACAAATACCCTCCGAGGTTTTGCACTACTTCACATTTCTGTTTAACCCAGTAGCTAACAAGATAGACGGAGCAGTCACTATGATTCCCAGTTTTATGCACGAGGCAGTAAATAGCTTTCCAGAAGGCATTTAGCGAATCATTGGTACAACTAAAACGAGAACCAACAAATGTCCACTAGATGGCGCTGCCCACTAAGCTAGAAGATAGAGTCGGGTCCGCCCTCCTGGCATTCGCTGAGGCATAGAAACCTTGAAAGACTTCCTTCCTCTTAGGTAAGCCGCAGAAGAAAGTCACTTTATATGACTCAGTGTCTTCATGACTTCTCTGCTCTACCACCCTTAAGCGCAGGTAAAAGCGTGGTGCACATATGACCATGCCCTCCCGGATAAGCTGCTCTTTTTCAGAGGACTAGTGTGCTGCCGGCAGCATTGATAAATCCCTGAAGATTGGATTTTAAAATATAACTTTGATTTACAAAATTAAAATGGATATAGGTCTCAAGAAAAAAAAAATCCTGCGTCTCAGACAAAATGTGCACCGATTAAAAAGGAAACGAAGCAAAACAATGATAAAGCCATCCTGATAACACTGTGAAAGAAATCGTACCATTTGGATAAGGTTTTGGTAATAAGAACAGTCAATAAATCACAAAAGCAGTATTAATTTGAAATTTCATTCTGTGTGGGTCCGATCTGCTGACACACGATGAACAATGTAATAGTATTCTAGTTTCACTGTGCTCTTGCTATTTCAAATATTTTTTTAAAAAGTCTGTTATTAAATATAAACAAATATTGACCCTGTGATGGGCTAAGTCTTTGTCATTGTATGGCTTCTTTGTTGATAAAGTACGTAGCAAATATTATTTTCAGCTTACTGTTGAGATTTGCTTTTTTTCTTGTTTCTTCTGCTACTAATGTTTTACCTGCTTTCTTGTGGCTTCTTCATGAGCAAGAAACATCTGAATTTCAAGTCAATCTCTGCTTCAAGGCAAGGAAACCTGTTTCCTCTTTCAGCATAAATCTCTCTATACATAAATAGAAAAAGTTGAGTTAGATTGTTTCTAAGGATGCTTGTTCCTTTAATATTTATGATTCTGTTTGATGACTGCAAATTCTGAATGGTAACAGTTTTGGAAACAGGCTTTCCCTATTTGGATGCTATTAGTGGGGGGACCTTTGTGAATTTTCCATATATCGACATCAAAAATGGTGAGTTTATTCTTCCTTGGATTGGGTTCTACTCAGTCATCTTAAAATATTTATAATTCTGGAGAAAATAGAGGATTAATTTGGGCATGCTACACAGCGGAATTTACACATAAAATAATGAAATGAGTCAGTGACGGTAGAGAAGAAAGAACAAAGGATCAGCAGAAACTCGGCAGGAAGGTCTTTTAAGAAGCATGAGATGGGTCATTCTTGAGGACCACATTTAATATTTTGGAATTAAGGAGGTTTCCTTCTGGGTTTCACACCAGGGAATTTGGGGCTGCCTAACACAGGGCTGTGTTGAATAAACATAAGCTGCACTAGAACTGCAAAGATGAGAGACCAGGTCAGAGGAGAAGATGAACCACCAGTGTATTCTGAGCACATTCTGACCCCAGTCAGCATTGAGCGTCTGCCGGGATTTGATTTACTTTTCTTTTGGAGCTCTTTTCCTAGTTTTCCCCTTTGGCCTGGGAGACATCTGTTACTAATTCAGATGATGTTATGATTTTGGCTTCTTTTGTCAAATAAAATCTGGGGAAAAAAAACTCACAAGGAAAATGATCATCTATATTTTAACCTATCCTATTGTCTTTTCTTCCTTTTTTAAGTTCAAATCTTTTGTTATTACTCACTATCTGTTTAGAAAGTTTCTTTTAATAACACTTTATGGGTAGGTTTGTTGGCAAAAATATTTAGTTTTTTTTTTTTTTTTGTCCTGAGTATAACCTTATTTCCCTCTTCATTACTGAGGGCTATTTTCACTAGATATAGAGTTCAGTGCTGACAGTCCTTTTCTGTCAACATTTGAAAAATATGACACTTTCATGTCATTCCTCTGCCTTCATTGTTTTCAATTTGTTCTCATTCACAGTTTTTGTCCCCAGTAGTCAAGATTAACTGTTTTTTTGTTTTGTTTTGTTTTTGAGTACCAGGGATCAAACTCAAGACCTTGTATTTTTGAGTCATGTGCAGTACAACTGAGCTAAATCCCCAGCCCAAGATAAACCCCTTTTGACAAATATGTTTTGGGCTGTAAAAGTAGCTCACTTGGAGAGTGCTTGGCTTGCATGTGCAAGGCCCTTCGTCCCCAGAACTACGGGTTCATTCTTTTAAATTTAAGATTTATTCCCTCCACCCAATTTGAACATGTGTCAGCCATTTTTTTGAGTACTTTTCAAGCTCCAGGTTTTCTTCTTCTGTAGCTCAAATGATAAAAGTACTAGTCATTTTGTTATTATCCCACAGGATAATTTTTTTTCATATTTTTTGTTTCAGTCTCTTTTCTCAGTTTTTTACATTGAGTAATTTATATCATGTTTCTTCGAGCTCCCTGATTCTTTCCTCTCCAATCTACTTTTGAATTTATCCAGTGAATTTTGAATTTCGGTTATTATAATTTTCATTTTTATATTTTCCATTTGGTTCTTTCTGAAAATTCTTTTATTTTTTTGTGTGAGGTTTTCATTTGTTTTCAAAATGTTCATATTTGTTAATTGAAGAATTTTTATGATAGCTGTTATAGAATCTTTGTCAGATAATTCTAGCGTGTCAGTCACCTCAGTGTTGGATCTATTGACTTTCTTTCCTTATTCAGTTTATGATGTCCTTTTTCTCAGTGTGAGTGAGTTTTATTGGTATCCTGTCTGTGTTGATATTATTGGGAGACACTGGACATTTTTCTTTTTTCAGAATGTCATGCTTCTTAGATATAGTGCATAGGTTCAGGTTGGGGAGAGAATGCGTATTTTCCTGCCAGGCTGTGCTGACACTACTTTACTGGAAAGGATATGCTTACTTACCTGCCCCACTGCAAATAACTGGGGTAAAAGTTAAATATTTCACTGGGCCCTGCTACCAACTCCCCAGAGAGGGTGGAGCACCCACTGTACCTGTTTCTTAGGACTGCATGTCATTTTAGTTCCCTTTTCATTCCTTCCCCAGGGGAGGAATTGGAGTGACATCGCTTTCTTCACTGGATGAGGTCTGGGTGATCAATTACCGGCTAGGCTCTACTGAAACCATGGTGGGAGGAAATAAGAGTGATGCTTCCATTGGTTTTTGTCTTGGTGTGACAGGGCAAAGAGTCAATTTGATAGCCTTTGGGAGCTGCTATAGGGATTGGTGGAGTATACTTCTTCGTGTATGTGGGTAGGTTGTGGAGCCATGGCCTGAGGGTATATGTCTGGTCCCTCTCCCCTTCCTTTCTGCTTCCTGGCCACAATGAGCTAAGCATCTTTGCTGCAGAACACCTTTCATTTATGATGCTTTGGCCTTGGAGGCAGCCAACCATGGACAGAATCCTCAGAAACCATGATCCAAATAAATGTCTCCTCCTTGAAGTTGTGTGTTCATCACTGTGTCCCAGTGGTGGAAACGTTGACTACTACAGAAAATTAGTACCAGGAGTGGAATTGTTATTATGACTTTCCTGAACACATGGTTTAGAAGTGCTTGCAACTGGCTTGCAGGAGTTTGGAAAAATTTGAATATACAGGCTAAAGAAACTATAAAATATTGTAAGTAGAGTTCTACAGGTGATTCTTCTCAGAGCTTGGAAGACCAGAATACCAATAGGACCCGATAGGAAAGTCACATTCAGGAGGATTCAGTTGGGCAAAAGGACTCCATTGGAGGTTGGACTTGAGGCCATGTGTCTTACACTGATGTGAACATTTGTCTAAATTTTGTCTAGGTCCATGAGATTAAGAGTGATAGACTAATCAATCTGGGAGGAAATTTCAAGATAGCCCAACATTCAGGCTGAGGCATGTGTACTGCTGGCTGCTTTTGCCATATTTGTAGTGATAATGGGAACAAAAGCAGAAAAGACAAATCTAGCAAACTTAAATTTTGTCACAGAGGGAATCAA